ATATCCTCTATTTCACAGTAATGAAACCGAACTGGAAAAAAACTTTTAAAACTCACGGTGGTTGCGGTAACAATACTACTTCTGCTGAGAACAATTCATTGATATCTACTGAAGGCCACCCAAACATGTCATTAACCTCCTCGTTTTGTAACTGAAAAGAGAATCTTTGGCACCTTTTTGCCATCACTGAGACATTACAGTATTTAGGGCCTTAATTTCTCAGAAACATGTTTCCAGCATATGGTATGTGAAGTAACATGAAACAGCTGGGTTTTAAAAAAAGAGGAATTTGATAATTTGACCAGGCCTTTTTGAGGTGTCATTACAAAGCGCTGAATAAATCTTGATGACATATGTAGATTTGATATAATGATATGAGTTTTACCACGTGGTTTATTCTAAAGATGGGACTTGGCATATTAGAAACTTCCCTTGATTTGAGGTCGTTGTGAAATTTAGGCGAAACGTTGCGTGACTTTAGCAGATGATGATTTTAATTTGTTAATATATAAAAGTAAACATCTTCAGAGTCTCTAAGAAGGAAAATTGGGGACTCATCTTGAATCAGTTAAACTCATGTCCTTAGCCTCTGTCTTTATTATTATTTATTTACTATTATTTATTATTTCAGGATTATTATTATTTCCTCGACATCGTTTTATGTTTAAAACTAAATGCATTAACCATTAATAACATTTAATTGAGTGTGTTCATTTATATTGATATCGCATAATCCGTATTCATATTCAGACTCAACCTAAGATATGATTTCTAACTATAAGATTCCCACTCTAAATGGATCATTTACAGTTGATAATAATGACTTAAGTTCTTTCTTTCCAACTGCTTTTGCTTTTTAATAACTTGCCAAAATGTAAAGTAAAACACCGGTACCGCCAATCATTTTGAACTATTAGATCTGCTTGCTATTTAGTGTCATTAATTATCAAGAACTTTTAGTCGATAAAGCTGTTAGTTTCCTTTTTACCGAAAATCTAAAGCTGAGAAAGCCGTTTAGGATGGGTTTACTGTTTGCCACATCATAAATTATCTATATTTTTAAGCCACTATGAGCAATGTGAATTGCATAGAGACCTTTTTGCATAGCTGAAGGTGTCAATGGGGTAATAGCTTTTGCAGCTAACGGTTCAAACTTTGGTCGTATTGAGGCTATTGGTTAACGCAAAATGACTTTGAAGGCAGGAGAAATTTTTGCGTCATACTCTTTTATGGCTAAAGGTTAACCACATTAAGAACCTCGTAGCTAATGAACACGACTCTAATATAGGCCTTCCAAACAGCTCTTGTAAAATTACAAGATGTCCTCTCAAGAGAATCTATCTTTATGAAAATCTATCTTCGAAGTTGATATTTCCATCTACTTTTGAATTTA